TGTGCAGCAACGAGACAGCGAGAGGGATTCTGTGCCACCCCATATCTTTGTGTTTCAAGGAAGAGCCAGGGAGGACGGAGAGATATTGAGTGCTGGTGCGGCCTCACCCTGAGTGCTGTGTGCGGTGCTGGGCCCCGCAACTGGAGAAGGATGGGAAGGTCCTGGAATGCACCCAGAGGAGGGGGACAGCGCTGGTGACAGGGCTGGAGGGAATGTCACCTGGGGCAGAGCTGAGGTGTCGGGGGTTGTCTGGTTGTGAGAAGAGGAGGCTGAGGGGTGACCCCATTGCTCTCTGCAGCTTCCTGAGGAGGGGACATGGAGTGGGAGGTGCTGCTCTCTTCTCCCCGGGATCAGTGATAGGATGTGTAGGAACGGTTCAAAGCTGTGGCAGGGGAGGTTTAGACTGGACGTGAGGAAGGATTTCTTTTCTGAGTGTGGACAGAGACTGGAAGAGGCTTCCTAGAGAGGGGGTCGGTGTCCCAGGCTGGTCAGTGTGTGAGGGGCATTTGGACAATGCCCTTAACAACAGCTTTACCTTGGTCAGCCCTCAGCTGCTCAGGTGGGTGGAGTCGATGAGCACTGCAGGTCCCTTCCAGCTGCAACAGTCTCCTCGATTAGTTCCTCTCCTGTACCAGGAAGGGCAGGGACACGCTGAGGTGAGCGCGAGGTGGGGAAGCGAGGACGATGCTGAGAGCCTGCAAGGAAAGAGCTGTGGGTGTGGGACACTGAGCACAGCCTGTGGTAAAGGCAGTTGAATGCTCTGGCATGGCTGAGAGCCCCCAGCAGGGCCAAGGACTTTTCCCCTTTGCCTGTGGGTGCTGCCTCTGCAGCTAAGGCCCCCCCGGACACACCTCAGCCTCAAGGCACCGGGAGCTTCTCCTGGCATCAGACTTCTCCAGCCCAGCTGCATCTGGAGGTTACAGCTCCTCTGCACCAGCTCCCGCTGGCTTCCCCCAGAGACCTGCCTGCAACATCAGACAGCTCCGGGCCGATGTCCTTGTCAAATCAAGTTGTCTGGGCTTCCCTTCTTAGCCAATGCAGACAAAGGAGTTGTGAGCACTGAGGTGTCTGGAGATCCTTTTCCTGGTGGCCAGGGAATGCTCCAGAAGGGTTCCCATAGGTCCTGGGTCACCCTTCCAAGCACCCTGGGGGTACTTCAGCTCCCCCATGGCATGTCAGGGAGCAACAGCTGATGGATGTAGGAAATTAATTACATCAGAGGAGTTTGCTCCATCACCTTCCTGGGAACTGGGAAGTGACAGAGTAGCCTGTAGACCCATGGATGCTCCTTGTTGCCTGCTTGAAAATGGGTGCAGTGTCTGCCATTCCCTACCCTGTTTGCCCTGACATTTCAAAGGTGACAAGGAGCAGCCTTGCAATGACCCCGGCCAGCTCTCCCAGCACCCTTGGGCACATCCCTTCTGGTTCCGTGGATCTGTGTGTGCCCAAGTGGTGTAAGGGCTCCCGAGACACCCCTTCCTCTGCTGTGGGTGCAGCCCTGCCTGCACAGATGGTGGTCAGAGCCTCAAGGCCCAGGGAGGTCTGGGGCAGATCGTACCAGGAGAAGAGGATGGGAAAACAAGGAGTTCTCCAGCCTTTTTCTAGTTTTAGCCCCTGCTGAGCTTTGGATTTCCTGCCCCCACCGCTGTACCCCAAGGCCATGTCTGTACCTGCCTCCTGGAGAACCTGTTCCCTCTCCCACCTCTGTGCAAAGCCTTCTGGTGTGTGAATGCTTCAGCCAGAAGATCCCTGTCCATCCCCACCAGCCTCCAGCTCAACTCCCAGAGCATCAGACTCGGGTGTTGCTGGGATTTAACGTTGTTGTCCTGAAGATCCAAGAGGGCTCCATGGATACTGCCTCTCCAGGACCCCGCCAAGCAGATGCTGAACCATGTGAAAGGTGCTGTGCTGCAGGCCAAGGCTGTCATTCAGCTGTTTGTCTTTTTCCTCTGCCATGGTCACTGCAACCACGGCTGCCCTCAGCACTCCCATCCTCTCCCAGTTCTGCTTGTTGTTGAGTATCAGAGGGCAGCCCTCGTCAGCCATCACCTGCCTGTGTCCAGAAAGGGAGGGGTGAGGCAGGGGAAAGGTCCCTGTCTGGGTGCTGGCTCTGAGCACCCCTCTGTTCCTGACCCCGACCAGCTGCAGCAGGCAGGAGGGCAGGCCCCGCTCATGGACAACCTGCTCAGCCCTGTCTGCTCTGGAGCAGACCTGACACCAAGCAGCATCGCCCCTCAGAGCCACCCCTGGGACTGCAGCTTGGAGGGGCTGACCTGGAAAGAAGTGCCCAGGAGTGTGCCAATACCCAGCTGTGTGAGGGACGAGCAGGTGCCTGGAGGCCAGGACAGTGAATGGACCAAGGGACTTAAAAGCACTGCCAGGGTGAATTACAGTGGAGGAGGTCGAAGACCCACGGGGAACTGCAGGAGGAGCCTGTGTGAGAAGGAGTGGACAGACACCCAAAGAGCGGTTGTCTAAAACAAGGGGAGACAAATCCCAGGTGGAATCCACATGGCATGGGAATGCACCAGAAGGAGAAACTCCTTGCTGTCCATGAACAGAGGGAAGGTATTTCAGTCACCAGTGGCATTCAGCTTCCCTGATGAGTACAACGTACAAGTAGAAGCTTCATGGTCCAGACCATGGCCAGCCTTTGTGTGTGTTACAGCTGGATGCAGTGAGGTGCAGGGGTGATGTAGAGCTGTCTCAGGCAGTGCCTCCCGGGCTCCCCTTGCAGTCAAAGCAGAGTCAGGTATATGGGGACTCTTTGCTCCTTAGGGCTTGGTCTATCTGGGTCTTGAAAACCTGCCAGGATAGAGGACTTCACAATCTCTCACGGGGACCAACGCTTGTTCCAGTGCTTGGCTCGCCTCATGGTGCAAAAGGGGAGGCCCCCCTGGCTGTGCGGTGCCCCTCAGCCACCCCTTCTCCAGGCTGAAGAAGCCTGTCAGTAGGAGCCCTTTCCCTGAGCAGAGGCCTGCGAGACCTTCTCAGGAAAGACTAAAGCAAAGGCACCACTGAGTCCCTCATCCCCATCTGTCTCTGCTGCTGTGAAACCCCCTCCCCATTCAGCAGCCCCTGCCATGGGCCTTGTTCAGCCTTTTCCTGCAAACGCAGCGACTGAAGCTCTGCATTTTGCTCTGGATGTTGCCCGCAGGTCCCTCAGCTCCAGGGGACCTTTGGCTCTCCTAAATACACGCCTCAGCTCAGCTCAGCTCAGCTCAGCTCATATTTCTAAATTCCTCCTTCACAGCCTGTCCTTGCAGCTACCTCCTGATGGCTGTGTCATGGCCCCCACCTGTGACCCATACCTGCTCCAGTGCAGCCCCAGTGCCCAACACATGCCCCCACGGCGCCTCATCAGACACTGCCCAGGACAGGGTGTGTTTGGGGTGGGGAAATGTCCCCCACCAGAGCCCCCATGCCAGACCTCAGCATCCTTCCCCACGAACTGTCCAATTTTTGCAGCCCCCAGGAGCCTGGTCTCAGTCAAGCCCCAGCTTTGTCCCACACAAGATTGTCCGGACAGCCCTGCTCTGGGGGCTGCCAAGGTCTGGGCCACCAGAGAGGCTGGGGCAGGGCTGGGTCTTCCCCTGACACAGGCACCGAGACCAGCAGGAGGAAGGAGATGGGCACCGAGCAAAACCACCCATAAACTGGGGTGAGTGGGCAGTGCTGGAAATGGCCGATGGGGGGGGACTGGGGGGTGATGACAGCCCATGTCACCAAGGGCACAGAGCAGCCCCTTCCCTCCCGCACCTGCATGTCTTGGATCCCTTCCACAAGCTCTGGCCCTGCACCAAATGCCCTGGTGTGAGTCCTCACCCTGTGTGGTCACACAGTGCCAGTTATATGCTCCTGGTTTTATATCCCCAGTAATTTCGAGCCCAGCCCAGCTCCCTCCAAGCTCTCCCAGCTCCCTTGCCCACTCTCCAACTCTCTCCCCAGCACAGCCCAGTCTGAGTTAGTCCCAAGGCAGTGCCCACTGCAGGGTGCTCTGGGCACTCACCCCACAGCCGCAGCCCCTCTGAAGGGCACAGCAGCTCCTCAGGGGCAGGGAGGGGTCAGCCCCAGAGATGGGAGGCA